ACAATGCAATACCATTCAGTGCTAAAATGAAACAGGCTATAAAGCCATGAAAAGATACTCAGGAACTTAAATGCATGTTACTAAGTGAAAGAAGTCAATCCGAAGGCTACATGCTGCCTGATTCCAACTATGTGACATACTGGAAGAGGCAAAACTACGGAGACAGTAAAAAGATCAACAGTTGCCAGGGATTAACAGAGAGAGATGGATGAGTAGGTGAAACACAGAAGAATTTTAGGGCAGTGAAACTATTCTGTATGATACTATAATGGTACATACATGTCATTATTCATTTGTTAAAACCCACAGAATGCATAACACTGAGTGAACCCAAATGTAAACTATGGACTTTGGGTGATAATGATGTGTCAATTAGGCTCATCAATTGTAACAAATGTACCACTCTGGTGTGGGTGGTCATAGTTGGGGAGAATGTGCATGCATGTGGACAGGAGCAAATGGAAACTTTCTGCACTTTCCACTCAATTTTGCTGTGAATCTAAAATTTCTCTAAAAAACAGTCTATTAAAAAAAAAGGTTGTGTATATCTGAGCCACATGAGATACCATGATTACATTTCTACTGTTATACAACTTTTTGTTTTCCTTGGAGTTGATCACTGCTTTGTCACGGGTTTTCTTCATTCCTAACATTAATGCCCCCTAAACCCCCCATTAGCACTGTAAAAATCACAGTTGATTTATTTTCCACGTTCAAACACATCATACTCTTATCAGATACATTCTTTTCCTGGAGACTTTCCTCCTGAAAGCCTCCATTTTTCTGCTAAAATCTGAACTGACTGTCCTCTAGATATGCTGCAGAAATGTCATCCTTTGAATTCCTTTAACCATAATTCTAGGAATTTCCTTTGCTTTTCTCCTGGATGAAATCCTCTGTTGGGTCCCATATATGCTTTTTTCTTATTTACTCTTAATTAATCTTAATATTGGAGAATATCTTCCAGATCTTTTCTGGACCTTGCATGTCTGGAAATATCTTCACTGGTGCCCTCATTTAATTGATAGACTGAATGGGTGTAGAATTCTGAGTTGAAAATAATTTTTCCTTAGACTTTTGAAGGTACAGATTCAAGGTCTTCTACCACCTAATGTTGCCGTATGAAGTCAGACATCATGCTTATTCCTAATCCTTTGTACATAACATGTATTTAAAAAAAAAAAACTAGAAGGTTTAAAGGATCTTCTCTTTTTCCCTCCTGTTCTGAAATTACATAATGGTGAGTCTTTTTTTGATGAGCTATGTCAATCTGAAAAGACAGGGCCTTCAATTTCAGGAGATCTTCTATTTCATCCTTTCTTTTTTCTCTAGTCTCTCATCTTGGAATCCTTTACTCTGACGGTGGACCTCTTGGACTAACTTCTAATATTCTTAACATTTCCATCCTATTTTCAGTCTTTTGAGCTTCCTATTTTTTTATTTTATCTTTTTGGTTCTATATCTTTAGAGGAAGACAATACAAAGTCTCAAAATATCTCTATAGTTTTTCATGCCCAATGTCCAGCATTCACTCAAAACTTATCAGGCACACCAGGAGACAAGACCAAGAGAAAAACAGGCAATAGGAACAGATCCACAGGAGAGCCCGCTATTGAAATTACGAGCTGTGGCCTTTAAAATAACTTTAATTAATATATCTGAGAAATTAGATAACAAAACAGAATTTCAGCTAAGGAATAGAAACCATAAAAAAGAATCTAATGAAATTCTAGAATCAAAAAATATAATAACTGAAATTAATAATGCTAAAGTATGTAATTCATTCAGCTTCTCAATAAATATCCAAATAAATGCCTACATAGATGCTCCAAGAGAAATGCAGGATGATTCTAGCAGTACTATTCAAAATAGCCTAAACTGGATAACTAAATTGTGGTATATTCATAAAATGGAATACTATACAGTATTGAAAATCAGCAACGACATAGATGAATCTCACAAACACGTTTTGTGAAAGTATGCATATATGAAAGAATATGTACTATATGATTGCATTTATATAAAGTTTGAAAACAGGTCCCAGGGCCGGCCCGGTGGCATAGCAGTTAAGTGCTCTGCTTCAGTGGCCCGGAGTTCGCCGGTTGGGATCCTGGGTGTAGACCCACGCATTGCTCATCAAGCCATGCTGTGGTGGCATCCCATACAGAGCAACTAGAAGGATATATAACTATGACATACAACTATCTACTGGGGCTTTGGGGAGAACAAAGGAAAAAAGGAGGAAGATTGGCAACAGATATTAGCTCAGGGCCAATCTTCCTCAAAAACAAAAGAAAACAAAACAAAACAGGTCCCAATTAATCTGTGGTGTTAGAAGTCAGGATAGAGTTACCTCTTAGAAGGAAGAGTGTCATGACTGGGAGGGGACATAAGCAGGCCTTCTGGGACACCTGAAATGTTCTATTTCTTGATCTGGGTGGTGGTTACAGAAATGTGCTCACTTTGTGGTAATTCCTCAAGCTACACATTTATTATTTGTGAATGTGTCTATATGTATATAAGAAGTTTATAATATAATAACATTTACAATATAATGTATAATATAATAAATATTATAAATATATAGTACAATATAATGAACTTCAATAAAAGATTTATTGAAGTAAAGTAGGAACAAATTATTCTTATTTTATAGATGCAGTATCTTTTGTTAACTCTGAGAAAAACATATCCATTCCTTATCGTATCTATTTCCTTCTTCCTATTAGTTTTGGTGTCTATCTACCATGTACTTGATGTACTTGCATTCAGAAGCTCTCTGGCTCAGTTTCTCCAGAGAATAAATCTCCTGTTGCCTCGTTACATGGAGTTGGAAAGGGGATCTGGTCCTACAGCAACCTATACAGAATTTTAACCATCACTTTGTTTTTAACCACATCCCTTAACCACTGCCTTGGCAGTACCTAGGGCTGCCAATTCTTGGGTCCCTCTGAGGTTCTATGTTTTGAAATCTCATTAGCAAACCTCTCTGTAAACCCCAAAGTTTCAGCTTTCTCTGCTCTTCTAAGTCAGTTGTCACTCACTCCTCAATCTTACAAAATTTATGAACATCTTTGTCTGTTGTTTTCTCCTTTTCATCCTGGTGAGTTTACACCTCTTTTATTCCCATATTATAATTTTACTGGGGCTTGACGAAGGATCAGAGATAAAAACAGGTATTTAATCTGCCAACTTTTGATTTCGTTTTTTTCCTTACATTTATTTAAAAATATTAATCAGGTTATGATTCATCTCCTATGATCTGAGGTACAATGCACATATATTTCTATAAGTTTTGATGTTTCTTATCAGCTGTGTGCTATTTTTTTAAATGAAATCTTTCACTTTCTTGTATAGCCTTTAAGTGGTACATAAGACAAATGGCCACACTTCCTGGCTTGTGATCTGGGGAGCTGTTAATGCACTGCTATGTTTTATTATCAAATGAAATTTATAGGCACAGTGTTCTGTTCCACAGAATGAACCACGGAAGGATTTCTCAGACACTCATCCAGATGGAGCACAAGTTTAAAGTCTACGTACAAACTTCTAAGAAATCACCTTTGCCATCTTATGGGCAGCTCTGTTTCCTGGGCTTCTAGGAGAATTGATTTTGTTAAAAATAATCCCAGACGAAAATCAAAAGGAAGCATCCGAATTCCCTCAATACTTTCAGTTGTTTAAGACTATCTTAGCAGCAGAGTTTGTGCTGACTTATGAATTCTAGATGGCTTAGTTACTTGCAGAATATATTTATTACTCATATAATGAATAATTAATGTATATACTTCCAGTCTTTCTAGAAATAATACGAGGAATAACTCAACCATCTTTCTATTTTAATGTGATCATTAGAAAATTAGTAATATAAATATAATCTCTCCCAAATGACTTCACAAAATGTACACAGAGTAATAAGATAGTATCGTGGGCAACTGTAGAGCTTTTTGGATGTTCAACATCTTTTGAATACCCTTCCTAATCTGGTGACTTTCCTACACAATGAGTCCTATCTCCCTAGTCAGGAATCAGACACTTGCTTTGCCAGCCTCTCTTGCAGCACGTGACCTAGGCTCTACAAATCAGACACAGGCATGTCAGCCTTTGTTCAGTAGAGAGAAACACGAAGAAGAAGAAATCCACTTCTGGCGAGGGTGGCAGGGAAGAAGACATTCAATTTTCAAGGGCCACAGTAACAGAAATTCTGGAACCCAGAGCCCAGCATTACGGTGTGACTTATGGAGTCTTTGCCCAGTGGCAGTGGCTATTGGGGTCTTCCTTGGAGCAGTCTTGTGGTGGGGGCTGGGTTTGTTCTTGGCTGTAGCCTCCAGGCCTGATTTTCTGGATATCCTTCAGATTCCATGAGCTGGCTAATTTCCTGAAATAAGTCCTTTTTCTGTTTCAACTACCTAGAGAGGATTCTGTTGCTTACAACTAAGAACCCTGACTAATTCAGATGGTAAGTGCTACCATAAACAAACGAGAAAAATAACCACAAAAATAAAAAATATCTTTGTGACATTCAGCTACAATAAAAATAAACATGTGATCCAGATTAAAGAATGACATAAGCTATAATATGGGTGAACCATGAGGACTTATGCTAAGTGGAATAAGCCAATAATAGAGAGACAAATACTGTATGATTCTACTTATATCTAAAATAGTCAAATTCATGGAATCAGAGTGGAACGGTGGTTTCCAGGGGCTGAGGGGAGGGGAAAGTGGGGGAGTTATTAATCAATAGGCATAAAGGTTTCAGTCAAGATGAATAAGCTCTAGACATCTGCTGTGCAACACTGTACCCATAGTCAATAATAATATATTGTATATTTAAAAATGTGTTAAGAGGAAAGATCTCATATTGTGTTCTTTTCACAATAAAATAAAATAAAATAAATTTAAAAAATCAGTACCATGTACTCATACTATCCAAAGACATGTCTAATTTTAAAAACATACTGGAGGATTTAAAAATCTTGATAGCAACTTCAACATACCATCTTTATCAGCAGTGTCTTGAGGCTTGTATTTTAAAGTGAAGATCTTCCGTAGCTTACAGTTAGCTGAGACAATAATTCCATCCAATGACTGGAAAACCGCTCCCTTGAATATTTCACTGGTAAATGCCACCAAGTCAATGCATAGATTGCACCACTAAAATAAAGAAAAGGAAGGAAGAGTAAGTACTTTCTATAACCACATAAACGAACAAGCCATCTATATGGCGGAAGTGCAGAGAGTTGAGGCAATTATCTGGATCAACCAGCCCCAAGCCAGTTTTCCTCTTTAGGCAAATCTATATCTGTTTTGGCTTCAATTTTCTTAAAATTTGTCTTCAATCTTCCAAAGAAATCTAAACTACACATTGGTCATCTGACTACAGAGTTCCCATCATGAGCCAAGGCTTTGACAACTTTGGGAAATAACTCTAGATCTGTAGGCAGTATGCTGGTGGGAAGCTAAGTGCAGGTGCGTTAGACCACTTCAATCTTGAAAATCAGGGATAAGTAGCCAATTGTTCCTTCAATGGGACTAATTTGATCACAGTTAGCCACTTATATTTGTTTAAAAAAAAAGTATGGACGAAATTAGAAGCTGGGTTTAAACTGTGGTCAGTGCTGTCTACTTATAACCAATTAACCTATTGTACAAAAATAGATTCTTCTAAAGAATTTGTAATTATGCCTCGTATTTGCCAGTTTTTAAAGTATTCTTGCAGGGACTAATTTCTGCCCATTAAACAATTAGACCCCTCAATACTTCATCAAATGAATTCTCAAAATGGTCTGACTGAGTTAAAGAGAAGGAGAAAATAATCATTTAGTAAGAAATGAAGACATATTTAAGACTGCAGGATGAAAGCAGGAAAAAAATTTTTGAAATTAAAAGAAAAGTAGTATTTAAAATTGTCTACGCTTCTTTTAAAATACAGGCTTTTCCATTATTTGTTTAGAAGCACAGTTTATATAAGGTCCCTTTTATTAATCTATCAAAATTGAAAGCTATATTCATTGGTAGAGGAAATAATATGTCACTTTTTAAAGGCAGTTCTTTTTAGGAATGTTGATTTAACATGGAGGAGAATCTGAGGTTACTTCCATAGTAGAAAAGTCTTGCAATAAATTATTGATTAAATACGTGAAGATTATTTTCTTTGTAGATGTCTCAACAGTCAAATTATATTTCCAGGCCATGGGGATGCTCTGGTTTTTCGGGGGAAGAGGAGTCTGGCATAATAAAAGGTAGGAGGTAGGACTGAGTGTCATGTGATAATGAGATTGGCTCGACCAGCGGGATGGTGGGCTCTGGGGAGGTATGGGAATTAAGTGGGATGGGCCAGGGAGGCCAGGTTCTGGAGGAACTGGAAGATCAGGAAGAGAACTTTGGACTCCAGAGGGTAAGGTGTCACCGTGGTTCTTGAAGGGGAATGTGACAAAAGTCGAGTATTGAGAAGCTTAGACTAGCCCTGATGCAGGAATGTTTGGGGTGGTAGAGGGGGTCAGTGGGGGAAAGTGGGGTAGAGTAGAGATAGACTGAGGCATAGAAAGACTAAGCTAGTCTCTGTCAGTCATTTAGGCATGAAGTGAGGAGGGTCTGGTTAGAAGGCTAGAGTAGGAAGTGGAATGTAAGCGACAAACCCAGTAGGCATGCCACAGGGTGAAACGTCATGGCCTGCTAAAATCCAGGTTCTAGGGGATGGAAGTGTGGGGGTTTTCAGCTATCCAATAATAATTATTAACATTTATTATATTAGCAATTGTTATAGTTGTTATAAATGCGGTTCCTATTCCTAAAGGACTTAACATTATGCCCCAATTCCAGTCATTCAGCTGGTTCGTCCCATTAGTAATCGCATTCATCCATCCTTCCCGGTTGGGGCTAAGCACTTATCAGGTGTTAGAGACTGGGCTTGGCTGCTGGGATACAGCATTGAATGAGACAGTCCTTCCAGTCTGGGAAGGGAGGCAGATGTGTGGCATCTATTACATACAGTTAGCACAGAGGGGGCTCAAGGTGGGAGGGTGGGGAGTTCAGGAAAGGCTTCTTTTAAAAAATATTTAAAAAATTTTATCATGATATTAGATGCCAATATAAGCCAAATAGCGTCAAAAGTTTCACATAAAATGTAGTCTTTTGATACCTCTCCACTCATCTAATCACACCATCTTAACTATCTCTCTGTATTTTTAAATAATACCTCTTGATTCATCAACTTCAGACTTCATCTACTGACTTCCTATCATGGTAGATAAGACTTATAGCTCCCTTACACACCCTACTTCCCCTGCTTCATCCTCCCTAGACAATTCTCTCTCATTCGTTCTCTTTCTCTTTTTCCCTTGAAATCCATACTTTGTGTTTTCCTTACTGTGACTATCTAAATACTGGACACAACTGAGCCAAGTGACGCTTTACGATTACCTTTCCTTTCCTTAGAGTTAATGACTGCTTTTTAAATTATCTGCTTCATTTTCTTTGAATCTAAGTCTTCCTACATCTAGGAAAGGCTTGGACGTGACATCTGAGTTTTGTTTTGAACAAGGAATAAGCGCTTCCAGGCCCAGGAAGGCCATGGGAACATGCTGGGCATTTCTGGTCAGGGCCCCGCCCCTTTATTCCCTCCTTAGATGAATTCTCCAGCCAGCTGCACCTGAACACCCCATCAGACCCCGTCAGCTCTGTATGGGAATTGGTGTCCACCTTCAAATACTCCCAGGAAACCAGGCCCTTACCTACTACACATTTTTCTTTTTTTCCAGTTGTATTGAGAAATAATTGACATACATCACTGTATAAGTTTAAGGCATACAGCATGATAGTTTGATTCACATATATTGTTAAATGATTACCACAATAGGTTTAGTTAACATCCATCATCTCATATAGACACAATAAAAAGAAAAGAAAAAAAAAATTTCTCCCTGTGATGAGAACTCTGAGGATCTACTACTCTCTTAACACCTTTCCTGTATATCATACATCAGCGTTAACTACAGTCACCATGTTGTACATTACAGTCCTAGTACTTATTTTATAACTGAAGTTTGTACCTTTTGACCACCTTCCTCCAATTCCTGGCCCCATCGCCCCCACCTCTGGCAACCACAAATGTTCTCTCTTTTTCTATGAGTTTTTGTTTTGTTTTGATTAGATTCCACATATAAGTGAGGGCATACAGTATTTGTCCTTCTCCATCTGACTTATTTCACTTAGCATAACGCCTTCAAGGTCCATCCGTGTTGTCACAAATGGCAGGATTTCTTTGTTTTTCAGGGCTGAATAATGTTCCACAGTATATATAAATATATATATACCACTACTTCTTTATCCATTCATCCACTGACAGACACTTAGGTTGTTTCCACATCTTGGGTATTGTAAACAATGCTGCAATGAACACAGGGGTACAGATATCTTTTCAAGTTAGTGTTTTCATTTCCTTTGGATATATTCCTAGAAGTAGAACTGCTAGATCATATGGTAGTTCTGTTTTTAATTTTTTGAGGAACCTCCATACTGTTTTCCATAGTGGCTGTACAAATTTACAATCCCACCAACAGTGCACAAGGGTTCCCTTTTCTCCACATCCATGTCAGCATTTATTATCTCCTGTCCTTTTGATGATAGCCATTCTAACAGGCATGGGTTAATATCTCATAGTGGTTTTTAATTTGTATTTCCCTAATGACTAGTGATGTTGAGCATCTTTTCATGTACCTGTTGGCCATCTGTATATCTTCTTTGGAAAAATGTCTATTTAGGTCCTTTGCCCATTTTTTAACTGGATTATTTGTTTTTTTTTGCTATTGAGTTATATGAGTTCTTTATATATGTGGGATATTAACCCCTTATCAGATATATGGTTTGCAAATATATTTTCCCATGCTGCAGGTTGTCTTTCCACTTTTTTGATCATTTCTTTTGCTGTGCAGAAGCTTTTTAGTTTGATGTAGTCCCACTTGTTTATTTTTTATTTTGTTGCTTGTGCTTTAGGTGTGATTTACACACTTTTCCATCACAGTCAAGCTGCTTTTACTCCCTCTGCTTGAACTCATGGCTTCATGGAAAGTACCCAACAAATAATGCTATGCATGTGTATGAATATATGAAGACATGCGTGTATATGCACGCCTACACACATACTTTAAATCTTTCCTTTTATAATCATTCAACAAACCCCATAAATGTGTGGGAACTGATAACTTATTTAGTGAATCCATCTCTTAGAAGTACAGAGGGGAGTAGTCCCTAAAAAAGATGGAAATAACTTTCACAAATCTCCTTTGGCTAGAGGAAATAGAAATTATTTTTTGGTTTAGCTGATATTGATAAAGGTTTCAATTTTCACATATGAAATACACTTCGAATAACTTATTACTCATATAAATTCTGTGACATATTTTCTGAAGTTTTGGAAAAGAGTATGAACTCGCTACTATCAACTGGTGGATTATCTGAATTATAGTTGATCTTTACAAAATATTATTTTCATTATTCTTGATGATATCATCCACTCTTAAAATCCCTTTTTTGACATTTTTCTTGATCTGTAATCACTTTATTCCTACTTGCAACTCTAGTCCAGCAGGGAAGAGCTCTTGATCTAAAATATTAATAATTATGGGTCCTTAAGAAGTATGCACCAGAAAGACAGCAATCTGTGAGAGAAAAGAGTACGGCTTAGTTTGTTGCTTGGTTAATAAGACAGTTTACGCTATTTAGTTCCAGCATAGAATTTTGCATGAAGTAATCAACTGGCAAAGGGTGAAAGAATGATTCAAAGCCTGAATTTCCAGATTTTACTGACTCATGTTTTGGCAATATGGCTTTATTATAATGGTGAAATAACGGTATATTCTGTAAATACACACACACACACACACACACACACACTCAAATGCATGCAATAACAAGTTCTTGGTTGTCCTAGCTCTTTTTTTGATTTCTTATGCCCCTATTCTCTGCCATTACTGCAGGAAAGATCTGAAGGTAATTTGATTCATTTTGTCAGTGTAGAAAAAGCCGGGGTCACTAACAGTGCACAGCTCTAGCCAGCAGTGCCTTCCTAAAAGGAAATGACAAACAAGAAACCACAATTCATAACCTAGCAATCTGAAAGTACATCTCTTCGCAGAATTTTAGAACCTCATTCT